CCATGCCGCCCCGCGCCCCGCGCCGCGCCGCCGCCGCTGCCGCTCCGCTCCGTCTGCGGGCCCCGCCGCCGCGCTCCGCCGGCTTAAAGCCCGACCAGCTCAGCGCTCCGGAGCCCCACCCCACCCGCCGCCCATTGGCTGCCAGCGGAGCCGCCTCCCGCCCCCCGGTCCCGGCCCCCGCCCCCCCTGCCCGCCTGCCTCTCGGCCCGGCCGCCCAGAGCTCGCCATTGGGCCTCACTCCTGGGGTCCCGCGCGCCGACCATGCTGATTGGCCGCTGGGGCTTCATTCACAGCCCCCCTACCTTCCGCGAATACGCTCACGCCCCGGGGGCGCGGCCGCCACGTGGGGAGTGGCGCGGGGGTGGCACTGGGACCGCACCCCCTCTCGTCCTGGCTGCGTGGGCCCCACTTTCCCCCGGCGCTGGAGACTCCGAGCCCGGCGGGTCCCACGCTCCAAGCTAGCAGAATTCTTGCCGGTCACCCGCCCGGGTGGCCAGAGGCGGTGGCGGGGATGGCGGGCTCCGGGAGGCGCTCGGGTTCCGAGAAGCAGCTCAGCCCTGCGCTCCTCCTTCCGCCGTGCCGCTGCCGGCGGGCCGGGATTCCCGCGGGTCTCGGCGGCTGCGAGCGGCAGGCGGCGTGGGTCCCCGGCTCAGTTGCGGCGCGGCTGCTCACCTCGCCCGCCTCGCCTCCCGCGACTTCCAGCGGGCACGGAGCTCTCCTCTGCGCTCCTCCCTGGCCCGTCTCGTTTTCCCTCTTCACCCTCTAGACCGCCCAGCGCAACTCCGTCGACCTCCGCCGCCCTGAGAGACCGTCGGGCGCGGGCAGAGTCGGACTGGTCCCGACTTCACGCCTCTCACGGACTCTCTTTCTCCCGGGCGCCGCGGCCCAGGTGAGTACCTCGCGGGTGGCTCGGGGCCGGAACGGCCGGCGGCAGCGATGCTGTGGGGAGACGGGAGCTCCTGTAACCAGGCCGATTCCGAGGTTCCTGAGTGAGAGGATCTCGAGGTGGAGACCGAGGCTCCGGGAAAGCACCGCCGACAGGAATGGTGGACACACTGGGCCCACGGGTATCTGACCCACGCCGCCGCCTCGCTCCTTCTTGCCTGCCCGGCTCATTGGCCTGGGTCATGGCGGGGTCACGCCCCGGGGAAACTTGCTCTAGGTGAGGAGCGGCGTGGACATGGGGAAGGGCGCTGATGCCTCAGAAATCCGGCGTGCAGGCTGGGAGCTGTCCAGCCTTGCAGGGAGCCCTGGGCTGGAGTTTAACCCACTTGCCTGGGGCTGCTGAAAAGGGAACTGGGACTGAAGAGGTCTTGTTGGAAAGGTGCGGCATGCGGTTGGCTTCCCTACTCATCCCCCAGGTCTTTGAGGACTCCCTGAAGGATCCTGAGTGGACTTGGACCCCAGCATCAGCTCTTCTGTGCCACGCTGGCTGGAGGATGAGTGGAATGAGCTGTAGCCTCCACGTCTTGCCCACGCTGAGGCTTGGCTCTCGGGGAGTCTTCCAGCTGCCAGTTCACCTCTTTTCTGTCCCTGATCTTGCCTCCAATGGGTTCATAGATTCCAGGGCCCCGGGGGTCCCAGATTGGAGGACCGAGCTGGGGGCCCAGCTAGGGCCCTACTGGCAAGTCAGGACTGTGGAATGTGTGTGAAGGAGTGTGAAGAAGTGTGATGGGGGGGCTCAGGGGGCAGCCGCAGTGGGGGTGACTGGGGCAGAGTCGACAGTGACAAGGGTCATCCTTGGGCACAGACTGTGCTCATCCAGGCCCTAAACGCCCTAGGACCAGCCTCTGGCTAGCCCCCAAGGGATGGGGTGGCCACTGGCCACTGTCCTGAGCAGAGTCCTTAGGTACTACTCCCACTGCAAGAGCTGTGATGGAGCCCTGTGTCTGAACCTAGCTAGGGATGCTGGGCTTTCCTGGACTCTGGCCCAGGAAGTGGTCACCTTGAGGCAGCCCAGGACTTCCTGGTCCACTCGCCTTCCTGGCCTCTCTCCCAGGTTCAGGAGGTAGGACCAAGGCTGGGAATCCTGTAGTGAAGTCCCCTCTCACGCCAGCCCTAACCAGACCTGCGTGACACTGAAGCTTGGGCTTCCAACCTGGACCTGCTACTGTCTTCCTGGGCAAGAATAACTCTGGCCCAGTCTTCTAGGGCTTGGTTCTTCTACCTGTAAATTGGGAATAACAGTATCATAAGCAGCACACCCGTCTCACTAAGGTAAGTTAGAGGGTGGTACAAGACAACGTGAGTGAAAAGGGCTCAGAAAGAACTTTTCACTCTCGTTGTTTCTATTGTTAGTGCCCAGTGAATGAACAGGTTACTCCCCCTCTAACTAAATCTCAGCTTGCTCATCTGTAGAGTGGGGTTCTGGAGGTTTGGGCCAGGTGACCTCTCTGGTAAACTCCCTTCCAGCTCTGATGGTCTGTGAGTCTATGAACCTGTCTCAGTTTCTGTCAGAGGAAGGGAAGTGTCTGGACAGTGGACAGGTGTTGTTTGGAACGGTCATCATTAGCAATGGGTACTTTACCAAATGCTTTTCATTCATCGCGTTACCTGCCGCTCTCAGCCCCGAGAGTGAGCGCTGGGATTGTTCTCCCATTGCACAGCTGAGGGAACTGAGGCTCGTCCGAGGGCCAAGAATGTGTGGAGGTCCCACTCCCCGTCATCCTCCCTGTGGCTGTGGGATGGGAAGGGTGTGGAGGCAGCGGCTTTGGCCGTCACAGCAGAGAGAGCTCACAGAGAGAGCTCTCTGGTCAGCTGGCACTCTTGAAGCTGAGTTCCCCAGGTCTGTGCTGAATTGAGGGGTGGCTGCGGCAAAGCCAGGCTCCTAGGTTGCCAGCTTGTCAGCTAGCAAATCTCAGTCCCAATCCCATTACCCCCCTTCAGTACCCCTGCCCTTTGCTTTGCCTGTTGGAGCCTCAGTTTCTTTATCTTAAAATGAGGACAGGGCCTCCCTGGTGGCGCAGTGGTTGAGAGTCCGCCTGCCGATGCAGGGG